CTTTCTGAATTTACTGCTTTTGCAACTTTCGTTGGCTCTTAAATCTTCTTTCATAGTTTCACTGTTCACCTCGTTCCTTGCTAAGTCTTTCTTTCCATAACGTCTTTCGGCCACTTTGGGTTTTGCTTGTATTTCCTGATTTCTGTTCTCTCTCTACCTCACCCATATTAAAAGATAAGTTCTCAAGGAAACCCTGGATTTGCTCCTTTTGCATTTTTTTGCTGGCTCTTCTCTGTTGTGATCGTTTTCAACTTTATTTTTCTGGTTTTGTGATATTTCTTGCAGAAAAAAATAATTTAAAAAAAAACTGGTTTTTCATCATATTTGTGATGTTGTTTAGTTGATTTTTTTTCCTGTTTAATTTCACAAGTTCTTCATCTTCTTCATAAACTTTGACATCATAGTTGTCTTCTATTGTTGCGAAGCATCTATTTGTCAAACTTGTTCAAAACGCCATAAAAAAAGAGATCTCTCATGGTTTGATCTGTGCTAGAACACTGAGGAAAGCTGATTACTGTTGGGAGATCTGGGGTTTATATACTTGAAATTGCAAATTTTCACATCGGCCACTACTGTAAGTTTGAAAATATAGGTTTTTGCCAAAATCTGTGGTTGTTTAATTGATCTTTACTTACAAAGTTCGATTTGTTTTTCAACTTTTGCAGCATATCCTCGTGTTTCTGAATCTAGACAGTAACCAACAAAGAGAAGAAGAAACCTGTTCCAACCCCCAACCACATCGAAGGCAAGTTACTTAAGGTGTGGCTTCCCTAGTTTACTTTATGTCTAAAGATACCCTCTTTTATTCTTTTTTTTTTTTTTTTGTGCTCAAATAAGAGTTATTTTAAAGGAAAAATTAGTCATTTTGGTCTCATAATTTTAACTTGATTATTGACTCTCAATCTACGAAATATTGATTTTTTGGAAACTTTGACTAATTGTAACTTTTTTTTTTTGTAGCGTTCACTATTGAAATCATTAATTAGTCCCTGAATTTGAAAAAATAGAGTTCACATGAATTAGACATTTAAATTTAATATATGAATAAAACAAGTTTGAAAATATATGCTATGAAATTGTGTTTTTGAATTAATTTTAAACAGCATTTTTATTAGAGAGAGATATTTTGGCCCAAAATGTGTAATTTAACGATCAATTAACATTTTGGGATATGAAAATAAAAACTTGAAAATACAAGGGAGGTTTGTTCTGTACAATTTTCAAAGTATTTTTGCAGTGCTCTGTTCTTGCGTTTCCCTTAAAAAAAGTATCTTCGTAATAGCATTCAACAATCTTAAATAAGATTATTGTATGATTTACATGTTATGTTGTAATTTATTTCAATGTAAATAATTAAAATTAGTGATATTTTAGAAAACTAACTCATATCTCCCTGCATTCAAGGAACACTCAATTTTATTTATATATTTAAAACCAAAAAGAGGAGTAAAGCAAAATATGTGCACGGATTTCCAAATTGGGGGGCCCACACACTTCTTTTGTCACTTTCAGACCCTACACGCCATCGGCCATTCTTTTCTATCTCTCTCTCAAAAAGCCGAACAATGAAGTCATGACCTCTGGTCTTTGAGGCAACCTCGTGGAAGTGGGGTACTGGTACGCTTGTGTTTAAAATTTAAATCCTTAAGCGTCTTGCCGATGTCATGTGCCTCAAATCGACTTTAAAAAAGTGCCTTGTCTTCTTAATTGCTGCGGTCTCATTCATTACCATATATTATCTCTTCCTGTATTTAATATAAAATCTTGTTTGATTTTCAATATAAGATCATAATCTATTTTATTTCTCATATTTATACATTTTTTTTCAAAATAATGTTTCTAACAATAATAATTCTAGTGAATATATTTAATTAATAAGGATATTTTAGAAAAGACAACATCTATTTATTACAAATAACTAACTTAATTTTTTTTTCTTAATCTTCTTAAATTAATCAATTAGCTTTTATAAATAGGATTACATTGACTCCTCTATGCACGAGAGACCACGCTATCTGCTCCTCCCAAAGCCTCATGTCTGCTTCTTCTTCAGCATTTTCTCAGAATTTTTTGTTTTTGAATTTTATTCCTTTTCTTGGCATTTTTCACTGAATTCTGCTATATTTTTGTTGGTTCTCCTTGTCTTCTTTCATAATTACACAGCATTCCTTACTTCTCCTTACACAGTATATATACCTCTGATACGGTTTTCCCAATTATTATTTAAATACGAGAAATAAAATTAAGTTAACCAAACCGACAAAAAAATTAAATTTAGGAAAACATATGTATATATAATTCAGAAACGAGTTTTGATAAATAACGAGTTCTGTAGAATTTTAAACTTATTGATACGGTGATGATGTTAAAATGTAGTACTTTAATAAATTCTTTCTCTCAGAATATTGATAATTCATTTTACATGGCATTCCGGTAAATTGGCCTCGTTTACTTTTCTTGTCATCGCTCAGCGCTTCCAGTTCCATCATAGAGAGCCACCGAAGCGGAACCCAAAGGAGTGAGTGCGTGCGATTTCTGAATAAATTATTTTAAAATATTATATTTATTATTTTTTTTACAAATTAATATGTCTAGTTTATAAACTGATATACTCTCTCCGATCCTAATTATCAGATCCGTTTTGTAACTTACAAATAAGTTCTTATAATTAGGATCGGAAGTAGTATGATCGAATAACAGGTACAATAATCGTTTTGGTAAATAATGCAGAAGCCAATTTTATTTCTTACTCAGAACGAAATGTGGGTAATTAAATAACTTTTTAATTTTTTTGGGTTTTCTTAAATTAGTTAATTAAGTCAGTAGTTTAAAAAAGAGTTTCAACAATCTTTAGAAAAAATGACGCAAATAATTCCCGTAAACCGTACAACGTGTTGTTCCTTCCTAATAATAATAATAATAATAATACTAGGAACCGCACAGCGTCTGAACCGAACTGCATTGATTTGAATGCTACCTAAACCACACACTCTACAGCCACTCTGAAGCTTCAGATCTGCTTCTTCTTCTTTTTCTTCTCCATAATTTCACAAATCTCCTACTCCCTTCTACTAATTTCTAGTGTTTTCTCATCTTCTTCTTTTACTTCATCATCTTTGTAGTTTCCATTATGTTATATATTTGCACTTTCTGATTTCCTTTTTCCTTTCTCTTTTCTAGACCAAAAAATAAAAAAATAAAAAAATCCTGAATTTACTGCTTTTGCAACGTTGATTTCGTTGCACTTGAGTCTTCTTTCATAGTTTCACTTTTCATATCACTCCCTGCTAGTTCCTTCTTTATTATTGCGTAATTCCTCAGCTGTAACGTCTTTTTGGCACTTTGTTTTGCTCGAATTTCCTAATTTCTGTTTTCTCGTCAATATTTAAAGAATTCTCTTTAAAAAAAAATCTGAATTTCCTTGTTTTACATTTTTTGTTTTAACTTTATTTTTCTTTGAGAAAAAAATCCCAAAAAATAATTAAAAAATCCGCTCCTTCAATTTATGACGGCTTATATATCTCCCAAAAAAAAAAAAAAGACTAGTTTAGTTGATGTTGTTTTCCCTGTAAGATTTGCAAGTTCATCATCTTTCTTCAAAAACTTTCAGGTTTTATAGTTGTCTTCAGGTTTTATACATCCCCATACATCCTCATGCCTCTTCTATTCCTTGTCCCTATTCTCACTGTTCCTTTCACTTCTTTTTTCAAAATTTTGAATTTGTCCTTAATATAAAACTTAGTTAACTAATTTTAAAATATTAAAAAAATTAATTAACTAATAAAAAGTATTTATATTTATTATTTTTTTAATCAATTTGCCTCACTTATAAATTAATATAAAACCTAGTCTTTGTTATATTTTTGTTTTTTCTCATGGTCTTCGTTCATAATTTCACCGCATTTCTTACTTCCTTTGTGTTTCCTGATTTCTCAACCTGTTATTAAACATCTTTTCTGTAATGCCCTTTTTATTTTCTGATTTCTGTTTTCCTTTCTGTGTTTCATATTAAAAATTTAAAAAAAAAAATCTAAAATTTTCGTCTCTTGCATTTTTTGCCGGCACTTCTCCTTTATTGTGATCATTTTTCAACTTTACTTTTTGCTGGTTTTCGATATTTCTTCTAGGAAAAAATCCAAAAAACTGCACTTTGAATTTGTCACTACCCGTGTCGTAAAAAAAGTGTTACTCCCTCTGCTCTATTTTCTGTGAGTCCGTCTTCTTTTTTGTTTTCCTTATTTAGTTGATGTTGATTTCCTGTCTGTTTCTGTAAATCAATCTTTCTGCTAAAACCTCTGATTGGTGTGAAGATCTGCTTCTTAAAGTTGTTCAAAATATCATAAAAAGACAGAGGAAAAGGGTGGTCATTTTGATTTGTGTTGGATCACTAGGGGAAACTGATTGCTGCTGGTAGATCGGACTCAGATTGCGAAGCTTCACGTCGTTATTGTAAGTTTCTATTCAATTTGACTTTCAAGTTTTGCAGCAAAATATTGTCCTCCTTTAGAATATTTATGAGGAAAAATAAGAAGCATTGTTCTCTTTACATTTGGGTAATATGTCCAAAAGCATAAATTATGCCCTATTTTTCAGTAATAAGCTTGCCTGTGCTCATACTCAACCTACATGGTGAAGTGTTCTAGAATTCCAAATAAAAGCCCAAACAAAACAAAAAAACCTGTTCTTCGGATGGAATATCTGTTTGCAAAAAAAAAAAAAGGAAAAAAATATCTTGATCATATTTTGATGTTGTATAACTGAAAAAAGTCGTTTGACTCCAAATAATTTAATATTGTCAATAGTAAGATCTCACTCTTGCTTTGATTTTCGGGGCAAAAAAAAGAGAGATAACAAAACAAGAAGAAATCAAATTTTCATCGTAATTAAGTCAAGAAAAGAAAAGGTGAGACTTTGTTTTCGAAGTCACCAACATTTCTGCATTAACGAGCCAAGGGTTTAATTGAGTTTTGGCTATGTCTTTCTAACAGAGCTCTAAACAAATGGATCCTACTTGTGGTTTGGTTGAGAAGGTTCGAGACTTCGTGCTCGACCTAATTTGGGAGCAGCTTCTTTATCTCATTCACTATCACAGAAACATTGAGGAGCTCAATGAACGACTTGTGGATCTCACACTTAAAAGGAACTCCATAGAGCATCAAGTAGATGTGGCTAAAAACAATGTAGAACAAATTGAAGAGGAAGTTCTTCGTTGGTTGCACAAAGTACATGAGATATCAGAGCAAGCACAACAGTTAACCAAAGAGAGTCAAGCAAAAACAGAGTGTAGTATAACTTCATGTCCCAACCCACGGCTACGCTCTAAGCTGAGCAAAAGAGCAGAGGCAGTGACCCAACAAGTTGTTGAAATTTGTAGAAACGGAAACTTTAACAGAGTTTCATATCGTGTTCCTCCCCAGTCTATGCTAGAGTTAACCAACACAGAAAGCAATGAAGGGATTGGTTCAAGAGTGCTGATTATGAATCAAATTATGGAGGCATTGCGGAATCCAAGTGTTAATATGATCGGATTGTGCGGGCCTGGTGGCGTTTGCAAGACCACTATAGCTAAAGAGGTAGCAAAGGAGGTAAAGAATCAAAACATATTTGAAAAGGTAATAATGGCAACTGTTTCTGAAGAACTGAACGTTGAGAAGATTCAAGACCAGATTGCTGAGAAGCTGGGTATGCAACTTAATGAAAAAACTGAAGACGTCAGAACTTCTAAGCTATCTGAGAGGCTGAACCAAGAGAACAATATGCTCCTAATATTGGATAATCTTTGGCAGGAACTTGATTTGGGCAAAGTAGGAATTCCCTTTGTTGATGTTGACAATTATAGCAAAAAGAATGAAGGTTGCAAAATTTTACCAACTTCAAAGAACATTGTTGATGTTGACAATTATAGCAAAAAGAATGCAGGTCGCAAAATTTTACTAACTTCAAGGAACAAAACGCTGTTGTCAGATCTCATGAAATGTCAAAAAATTATCGATGTAGGTGTTTTGTTAGAGGATGAAGCATGGGAGTTATTCAAGAGGATTGCTGAACTTTCTCTTGACTCAAGCAGTCCTGAGATGATATCTATAGCCACTGATATTGTTCGAAAGTGTGGTGGCCTGCCGCTTGCGATTGCTACAGCTGCCAAAGCGTTGAGGAAAAAAGGTCTTAATGAGTGGGAAAATGCTCGTGCTCGATTGAATAATCCTTTAGGGAGAAACATCACAGGGATTAAAGAGGTGGATCCCATTGTGAGGTTGAGCTACGATCGTCTAAGCTCAGAGAATAAAAATATTTTCTTGCTGACTGCCATGTTATCCCATGATCCCTCAATTGAAGACCTATTCATGCACTCTGTGGGGTTAGGCATTTTTCAAGGCATAGAGAACATGGAACAAGCCTATGTTGAAACCTCTGTTGCTGTAAGTAAGCTAAAATCATTAAACTTATTTCTTGATAGCATTTCTAGTCATCATGTTACAATCCATGACGTCTTTCAAGATATTGCATTATCGATTGCATCCGATCAATTACATGCATTGATTTTGAGGCATAAAAGCTTGAAAGAATGGCCAGATGAAGATGAGCTAGAAGGCTGCAAGGGAATTTGCTTGGAAGAAAGTGACATCAGTGTTGACCGTACAGAAGAGTTGCATGCTCCAACATTAGAATTCTTTCTACTGCACAACACAAAACAACATGACTTGACCATACCCAGCATGTTTTTCAAATCTTCAAAGAAGCTAAAACTGTTGGCATTTACTGATGTGCGTTTTTCATCACTACCATCACTCAGTTTCCTACTAAAACTAAACACATTGTGTCTGCACTCTTGTTTGCTAGAAGATATAACTGAAGTCACAAGGTTGAAGAATTTAAAAGTGTTAAGTCTTGCTTACTCTGAAATTGAATGGCTACCAATTCAATTAGCAGAGTTGACTTCTTTACAAATGTTGAATTTGTCCCATTGCTCCAAGCTCAAAGTGATTCCCCCAAAACTTCTATCTAGCTTGAAAAAATTGGAAGTGTTGTACATGGGAAACAGCTTTAACCAGTGGAAAATTGAAGGATCTAGTGAAGCTAATGAAAACGCAAGTCTTCAAGAGTTAAAGGATTTGCCAATCTCTTCTCTCGATATTCATATTCCTAATGTCTCTATGTTGCCGGAGGCTTTGTTCTTAGACTTGAATTTGAAGAGATATAGAATATTCATTGGAGAGCATTGGAAACGGCAAGACAATTGGAAATGGCAAGACAATTATGAAACTTCGAAGATATTGAAACTTGAGCTAGAGGGTAGTATCCATTTGAAGCGTGGGGTTCAGAAGTTGATGAAAGGAGCTGAAGATTTGTATTTATATGGATCTAATGGGCTTGAAAATGTTCTTCCCTGTCATGATGGAAGAGCATTTCCACATTTAAGGCATCTTCAGATTGAAAGTGATGATACTATTAGATACATTGTTTTGAACTCAGCGCAACATGAAGCTGCAACAAATAACATATCCAACAAAATGTCTGAGTTACTTTTCAACAAGGTATGTGCAGATTTTCACAATTTTTTTCTTATTTTATCTTCTTACAAAATTTGAAAATTATATGCGAAAATCATTTTCACTAGAATTACTTGCTCTACTATTAGGCAATCATGGAAGTTTGCAGCTTTTTATTTTTTTAATTACTTAAAATCAGCCAATAGTAGAGAAAAGCCAATAACTTCAAGTCTTAAAATAAATAATGAAGCCTCAAATTATTCATTTTACATCCTAAAAACGTGTCAACTTGATATTTTGGAGTGTTTTAATATATGAATTGTTCCTACAGTATTTATGACTATTTTAGATGATGTGAATAACCACCTTGTTGGACGGGGATGCTAGACGCTTGTGCTGTTCATTACTCAAAAAAATATTTATGAGAATGTAGCTCATGGTTTTCTAATCCCTTTTCAGCAATAGGTTATATTCATATTATTTTAGTTACTTTTTCTTGTTTTAACTTTCCGACAAAACTTCAAACTTAATTTCCCGGAAAAAGAAAATCATTTTCCCTACAATTATCTGCTTTGTTGGCATTTTGCCGGATTGTTTTTCTTAACGAAATCTACAAAAATTACATCCACTGGAATTACTTAATTTGGTATTTGGCTAGTTACTATAGCATTTTGCAGTTCTTTCACTTTTTTAATTACTTAATTTTTTTTATTTTGTGACTGTGAAATTTCAAGTTGAACTTTTAGCAAATGGCTTGAAAAGTATTGTGGTAGGTGAGATTTTTATTTTGACATTTAAACAATCTTTCATGAAAAGTAAGCCTATGGATTATAAGTTATTTGTGTTTAATCATATTTTCGTTCAACAGGTGTTACTTCCAAAATTGGAGAGGTTGGAATTGTCCAATTCAATCAATTTGATTCCAATGGTGTGGGACGACCAACTTTCACACACCTCATTTAGCAATTTGAAAATATTGATTGTGAAAAACTGTGGCTTTGTGAAATTGGTGTCCCTTCGTGTGCTGAAATCTTTAAACAACTTGGAGGAACTAGAAGTTAGGGAGTGTAACATGTTGGAGTTGGTGTTTGATTTTGAAGATTTGAATGATTATAAAGGGGAGGCGGAGTTGTCATCAATGATTGTGCCGCTGAAAAAGTTAACGTTATGTGGATTGCAAAAATTGAAGAATGTATGGAGCAATCATTATGAAGGAGATGTCTCCTTCCCAAGTCTAAGGAGCGTGCGTGTGTCCGCTTGTAAAAGCCTCACAAGTTTGTTTCCTGCATCTATAGCCAAGGGCATGCTTCGTGATCTTGAATATCTTCAGATAGAAGATTGTGGTATAGAGGCAATTGTTGCAAAAGATCAAGTTTCAGAATCTGTTGCTACTGTGTTAGAGTTTTCTAGGCTGACTTCCCTTGAGCTTTCTTGGCTTCAAAATTTGAAGAGCTTCTATCCACAGAGACACACATTAGAATGGCCACAACTTCAACAGTTAGATGTTACATATTGTGATGAATTAGAGATATTTGAAAAGGAAGTCTCAAGTTCACTAGAAATACATGAGGAAGAGAGCACATTAGCCTCAAAATATCCTCTACTGTCCCATGACAAGGTACATTTCTAAATTGCTCATTCATGTGTTATTTATTTTGAAAATAAGCTAATAAAAGAGCAAAAAATAACTTTAAGCATTAAAATAAATAATGAAACATATTTTGCTTTACAGCGTAAGAACACACTTCAATTTGATATTTGTGAGTACTCAAATATGCGAATTGTTCCTGTTACTAAAACATTAATTAGAATATAACGTAGTTTAGGATTAATTTGATGATTGACTTAAAAAGATAAAAAGGAATAATTCATAATCATTATTTTAATTAATTAATAGATATTAGAATTAATTAAATATTTTTTCTTTTGAAAAAAAAGTGGGACTCGAATCCTCAGGTTTCCATCTTCACCGGAAAGAGGTGTGTCATTTTTTTGGGTAATAAAAGGGGGGTGTCATCTAATCAAGGGAGGGGATTTTTTTTTTTTGTTTAACATTTTCAAGACATTATAAGCTTTAATTTGATTTTTTTTATTTAAAACAAAAGAAGGGAGGAAAAACGGTTGTGTGTGATAATCAAAGATTGAAATTCCAGGCTGGAAATTTATATTCATTTTAATGTATCATAATTATTATTTGTAGTTACAAAATGCACATGGCTGGATTTTGACGCATTGATTAGTTGTTACATTTAGTTATGATTTATGTATTGTGCAGGTCACTCATAATTTGGAGGAGTTGACATTACGGGGTAAAGGAGTTGAGATGATAGGGAGTGGCCAGCTTTCAACGTACCGCTTCCCCAAAGTAAAGCTGCTTAGTCTAGATGTTGGTTATGATGAAGCAACGACTATTTCATACAAATTGTTGTTGAAAAGCTTTCCAAATTTAGAGGAGCTGACACTGCGGGGTCAAATTAAAAAGGCTTCTGGGGGGGATGATGTTCCTCTTCCAATAAAATTGACTCGACAGTATTTACAGTATCACAAGCTTGGTGCCACTCTTAGTTTCTTCACCAAATCTCACACATCTGCACGTGGAATGGTGTGGTGGGCTGACCACTCTGATGACGTCATCAGTTGCTCGTAGCTTGGTCCATCTCACAAGTCTCTCAATTAGTGGGTGCTCTAACATAAAGGAAATTATATGGAAGCAGGAAGGAGAGGATGATGACGATGAGGAAGTCGTTTTCAGCAAGTTGCAGCATTTGAAAGTTGAACGGTTACCAGAATTGAAGAGATTTTGCCGCTACAATTACACTTTCAGATTTCCGTTATTGGATCAGCTGATCATAACGGAATGTCCAAGATTCAAAGTATTCTCTCCAGGACTCATTGATACACCATCTCTTAAAAGCATTCAAGTGTCACAAAAAATGGGGGAGAAACATCATGAAATATGGGACACCAGTCTTAACAAAACATTCGACCAACAGGTGCGTCTATTTCCAGCTTTTACAAAAATATGAATCTATAAATGTTCCATTGCTATGATATTTAATATAAATATACCAGTACATGTTTCGGTTTTGAAGTTTCTACTAAAATTTTAGTTATCATATTTTAATTACACAACTTTAATTACAAAACATCCCAAACAATTACATCATAATTAATTAATTAATAGGATACACAGTGAAATGTTTCAGTAAGAAATGGATTTTTCCCCAGATATACCCTTACTTATGAGGGGAAAAGTAAGAGAGAGAAATAGAGTAATAATGAGAAAAAGAATGAAAGATAAGATAACATACCAAGTTGTCAGCCTTTTAATTAATGCAATGTATAAAATTAATTAGAGACAAAAAGGGTAAAAACACATTAAATGTTCAGACAAATCCAAGTTGGCTCTATTAAAAAAAAACCAAGACAATTCAAATTTCAAATTTTTATAAAAGGAACTGGAGGGAGTAGTTATCATTTTTTAATTACATAACTTTAATTATAAAATATCCCAAACAATTACGTCATAATTTAATAATTAATGCGATACACAGCAAATGTGTCGGAATTATTGTTTTTTGTCGTGGCTGATATAATTATTTCTTTTCCAAGATTAATTATGAAAAATAAATGAAATCAAAATGTTTCGCACTTCTAGTGATCGCATTTGATCTTGGGACACAATAAAAAACAAAATAATATTTTTGATTCAATAAGAAGTTGCGACATAATTAATAAATTAATATTACCATGCTTCTAACTCAATATCTGTTTTACAGATATTTGTGGCATTAAGAGAGATGGTGTTAGATGAGGATGATGTTAGCATGATAAGGAATGACCAATTTCCAGCGGATTGTTTTGCTCAAATGGAAATTCTGGGCATAGTAGGATTTAATGATGAAGGGGCAGCATTTCCGCATACATTGCTTGAAAGATTTCCGCGGCTGACTGAACTTCGTGTGAAGGATAGTTCTTTCGAGGAGATATTCCCATCACCTGTTGTTCATCAAATTCAACAACTTCATAATTTGACAGTGTTGAAGGTGTTCCAATGTCATCAACTCATCTATTTAATGACAAATTCAGCCGCCAAAAGTTTGGTGAATCTTGAAACGTTGGAAATAGATGATTGCAAAAAGATGGAGAAAATTGTAAAGAATGAGAATAATGACGATGTGGAAGGTGGAATCACGTTCAGTGCGTTAAGAAGATTAAAACGCAGTAGTCTACCAAGACTGAAAGCGGAAGAGCATAAAACGGATTTCAACATTGAAGACCCAGCAACAAATAATCATAAGGTATGTTCAAATCAATTTACAGTAAAATATCCTAACTAGTCCTGTGTTTTACCTAAGTTATAGAAACCTTCCTTTTATTTTAAAAATATATATAACTCCCTTCAAATTAAAATACATGTTGTACAAACCTCCCTTGTATATTTGACTTGAAATTCCATTTCCATCTACCCAACCGTAAGGTTACAGTTGAGTTTGACCTTTAAACTTTTATTTTGACCAAAATACCTCTCCTTCACATAAAAGTTATTTAAACATTCATTTTTTAGCAAAAATAATTTTTAATACCACAAAAAATAATTTTAATACATGTATTTTCAGACTTTTTAAAATGTAATGAAATTTGTTAATTTTCATAAAAATTTTATAATTTTAATTGTTTGTCACACATATTGAAATTAATTTTTTAGGTTTCTTTAAATGGCTAAAAAATATGTTGAATACATATTCTTTTCGTAATATAATATAGATTATCTAAGTTTGATAGATTATAGAAATTATTTAAATTTATACTTTCAAATTTTTAAACAAATGAGAAATATCTATAACTTTCTTAGTCAATTATATATTTATTTAAAGAATTAACCAAATTTCCACTCACTAAATTACTTATTTTCAATCCTAATATGATAAAAACGTTGAACAAATAACTAACTCCAAAAAGTGAAAAAAATTAAGGAAAAGAAAACATTTTAAATTTTTTAGGCCAAAATTTAAAAATTTAGTATTATGAAGGGTAAATTAGTAAATCAAAAGTATTTTAATATAAATTTTAATTAGAAAATTATCTTTTTAGAATATTCTCAACAGATTTAACTATTTGGACTTAAGTTTATGTTTTCAAAATAGAAGGAAAATTTGTAATTAGGGCAAAATACAAGGAAGGGCAGAATATTTTACTCATCAATTTATTACTGTTTTTTCTGGACAAAAATTCATTTTTTTATCTAGTATATTCTTTCCTTTCCAGGATTTTCTTATTTTATTAACTTTTTAATTTCAAACTTACGCTGTGAAAATTCATTTCATTGGAATTATTCACTCTGTTCAGTAAAAATATGTCCTTATTTTTTCTTGTCTCAATATATGTGGAAAAAAAATTGTTTCACTTAAAATACTTACTTTGGTATTGGGTTAGCTATTGTAGCATTTTATAGTTCTCTCGTTTTTTAGTTAGTTATTTCTGTTTGGTGAACTTGAAATTTGGAGTACTATGGTACACGAGATCTATACTTACACATTTAAGCAATCTTTCATGAAAACTAAGCCTCACAAATCAACGATAACTCTGTTTTTGTTTTTTGCCGAAGGATATTTGTCTAATTATATTTTCTTTCAACAGATGTCATTCCCAAAGTTAGAGATATTAGAATTATTCTTTTTCAACAGTTTGGTGCCATCAATATGGGATGACAAACTTACGCTGTGAAAATTAATTTCATTGGAATTATTCACTCTGTTCAGTAAAAATATGTTCTTATTTTTTCTTGTCTAAATATATCTAAAAAAATTATTTCACTTAAATTACTTACTTTGCTATCAGGCTAGATATTGTAGCATTTTATAGTTCTCTTGTTTTTCAGTTAGTTATTTCTGTTAGGTGAACTTGAAATTTGAAGTTGAACTTTTATCAATCTCTTGAAGAATATTGTGGTACACGAGAGTAGGGGTGTTCAATTTGTCCCGTCCCGGTCGTCCCGTCCCGGTTCCGGTGAGTTCGGGACGGGACGGGACGGGACAAAAAAAATTTCGGGACGGGACAAGTACGGGACGGGACGGGACAGTGACCGGGACGGGACGGGACGCGGGACGGGGTTGTCCCGTCCCGTCCCGGGATATTTTTTTTTAAAAAAATTATTTATTAATAATTATTATTAGATTATTCAATTTACTTATTAATAATAATAATTATTTTTATAGTGATTTTTAACTCTTAAGTTGTAATATTATCTCAACAATATCTCCTTCCTCAATAAAATAATTCATAAAGCCATTATATAGTGTTTTTTTATCGTATTTTTTTTACAGTATTATTTTACACCTTTTTTATACTATATAATTGAGTTTTTTACATAATATTTTTTATAATATTTTATATATATAAAAAAATTTATAATTTTTTAAAAAAAAAAAGGGGGAGGGGGACGGGACACGGGACTAAAACCCTGTCCCGTCCCTGTTCACCGGGACGGGACCGGGACGGGCCTGTCCCGGTCTCGTCCCGTCCCGTGAGCACCCCTACACGAGAGCTATACTTGCACATTTAAACAATCTTTCATGAAAACTAAGCCTCACAAATAAACAGTAACTTCGTTTTCATTTTTTGCCAAAACATTTTCGTTTAATTATATTTTCTTTCAACAGGTGTCATTCCCAGAGTTAGAGATATTAGAGTTATCCTATTTAAACAGTTTGATTCCACGGATATGGGATGACAAACTTCCACACCACTCATTGAGCAACTTGAAAACATTGACTGTGAGCTGTTGTGGCTTTGTGAAATTGGTGCCACTTCATGTGCTGAAATCTTTAAACAACTTACAAGAACTGGAAGTCAGGGGCTGCAACATGTTAGAGACGGTGTTTGATTTTGAAGATTTAAATGATTATAAAGAGATGGTGTCATCATCAGTGATCGTGCCATTGAAAAAGTTAAGGCTATGGTATTTGCCAAAATTGAAGAATGTATTGGGCAATAATGACCGCCAAGGAGAAATAAACTTAGTTTCTTCACTAGATGGTTCATGCCATCAAATAGAAGAACTTATAACGAAACAGAAAAAAGAGGACAATGAGGACAAGAAAATCATTTTCAGCAAACTGGAGTTTTTGGAACTTGATGAATTACCAAGGTTGAAGAGATTTTGCAGCCAAAATTATACTTTCCAGTTTCCATTATTACAACATGCAATCGTATCAGAGTGCCCTCAACTCACAATATTCTGTTCTGGAGCCATTCATGCTCGCTACTTCAAAAGGTTCAAGCGACGACTCCATATGGACCTCACATAGATATTTGGATGACTGATCTTAATGCCACCATCCAACATCGGTTTACTATTCAAGAGGTTAGTCCAACATACTGATATTCTTGTTTTTCACTTTTTAAATAATTCCTCATCATCTACAAAATTTAGGTTCAGATAAATATTTCACATAAATTTAAAGTTTGTACATTCCGTCATCTCCCAAAAATTGTAAACTGTTCATCAAATTACAAGACCCTGATTGCACGCGAAAGCCGACAAGCAAATGATAATTAACGGATGTGGCAGACTGCAAATAGTGTGATAATGTTTGTAGATCTCTGACTGGAAAGAAATGGGCCTATAAAATGATTCAAAGAATTTTGTTTATATTTAAAGTGATTTTGAGGAGGGGAGGGGGAATTAATGATGAAAAATATAAGTATTAGAAAAAGATGACAGGTCAATTAAGAAAGATTTTATCTACAATTATATAAGAAATTATTATTTTAAAAAATATTCTGACCTGATTTATTAAATTGCCTTCTTATAATAATAATTCTACCAAATAATCGTTTTACAGGTTATTTTCATAGTCAAAAAAGCCTAGCCTTAAATGTGAATTCGAAGGGGATTATGGTTTTTTTTTTAATTTGATTTAGAGAAAAGAAAGGGGGTTATGAAGTTAATTTAAAGGATTTTTTAAATTTTAATGTGTGGATCTTATTTCATGGTGAAATGATGAAAATTTAGATATTGGCAAAAGACGAGCGATCCATTTAAAAAGTTGATTCTTGAAAACAATATCCTGATGTAATCTACTAAATCGCCTACTCATTATGCTAATTGTTTTATTAATTATCATTTTATAGGTAATTTCCACAATCGAAAGCATGGCTTTAAATGCAGAGAATGTCACGATGATAAGGGATGTCTTTCCTGAAGTGGAAACTCTTTATGTAGAAAGCTTCAAGGATGAAGGGGTAACCTTTCCCTATAGTTCCCTTGAAAGATTTCCCATGTTGAAAAAGCTTTATGTGGAGAATAGTTCCTTTGAGGAGGTATTCCCCCCACAAGATGAGATTATCGATTTTATGGGGAAAATCCCACCATTTGAGAAATTACACATTGCCTATTTGGATCAACTCAAGAGCATATGGAAGGATGACTCTCAGCTACCACCAATTCATCAAGACCTAATAAAATGCCTGAAAGTCGAAAGTTGTCATAGCTTGGTCAAGTTGGCACCATCCTCTGCTTTATTTCAAAATTTGTGGAAGCTGTCTATATCTAGATGTCATCAACTCGTCTATTTGGTGACAAGTTCAACCGCCAAAAGCTTGGTGAGTCTTAGATGGTTGTCGATAGACAATTGCAAAAGGATGGAGGAAATTGTACCGAATGAGAACAATGAAGGTGTACAAGGTGGAATCACATTTAACCAATTGTCGTGGATCAAACTTACTGATATGCCAAGATTGAAGATGTTCTCTTCACAAAGTCAGACATTTGAATTCCCTGAATTAGAAGAGATAGAAATAACCAGATGTCTTGAAATGAAGGTGTTTTGTCCAGGAGTATTGGAAACACCAAAGTTGTCTAGAGTAAAAATTGAAGAGCATGAGATGAAATGGAAGGATAAAGAAGACCTTAACAAAACAGTAGAAATGCTATTCTCAGCAAAGGTATGACATACCCACACTAACAAATATTGTTTCGGAAAATGTGTTGCTAATGACCAAGGAAATAGAAAATTGATTGTATCGTGCTTATGCCAATGACGTCTCTTCTCAAAATTACCTTCTATTTTAGGCAGCTAATATTATGATTTGTTATTGCAGGATAGTGTTAATATATAGAAGGATAAGTCCATCATCCATGTTACCATTCTTTCCAGGTTCGTTACTTTTATGATTTTTCTGCTTATCGGCTGTTTTTTTTTCCTAGTGGTTATTATGATATCAATAAAAGCCTAATATATGAGGGCACAAGCTTGAAAATAAAAAAAACTTGCATCTCTTTTTTTTCTCCCTATACGCCAAATTTTTTCTTTTTCTTAAATTATTTGTATGTTTTTGCTACATTCGTCTGTGCTTTGCTATCACTAAAAGATACGAGTTGCTTGTTGAAGTTTATTGCAATTTCTTTTCCAATAGTAGTTACTATAATATCAACTACTGCTACGTATTAAAGGATGAAACAGGGGAGCCATCTTTTTGTGAGTGAGTGTGTTCTTTTTGGTAACTTTTTTATAAAATTTTTCTTTGTTTCTGTACATTCTCTTTGTATAGTATCGGTTGAGTTAGTGAATCACTTTCGCTTATCTTAAAGAGATCAACTGTGATTAAGAAGAAAAGAAACAGCTGGCGTATTTCAAAAAGGATGATTTTGATAATTTGTTTACCCCAACTATTTAACCCATGTTTTCAACTAAATATGATATATATTTACAAAATAGAATGATAAAAACAGAGGGGCTGTTTTTTTTCCCCCTCAAAATAGTTTTATAAAATTGTTTTTTAAAACAAGTTTTGAAAAGAAAAACAAAAAAATCTGTTTGGTTAATTGCTTCAAAAAATTGAATTTGAACATAAACATACTGAGATTGGAAAGTGAAGTTTTAATGAGAACTCAAGTTTTTAAATGAGAAAAAAGCCATCGAAGTGGAGAAAAAAAAGTTTTTCCAATTTTTGCAAACAAAAAAATAGGAAATGTGAAAACAAAAACTAGAAAATAACTAGAAGTTGTTTTCATTTTTGAGTTTTTAAAAATATTTCTGTTTTTTTGGTTTTTGAAAACTTAATTAACAGCAAATTACAAAACAAGCCTTTTTAATTTTTTATTTTTAAAAACAAAAAAGGTCTCTCAAATTAAGAAAACAAATAAGGCTTTTTAACACATTGACTACAAAATGAATTATATTTGATAACATGAATATATGTAGAATACACTCAATAGCCTTCTTCGTTTCGTTGCTTGATTAATGCAGGCGGCTAATCCGAAGTGTGGACTGCAAAATCATTGACTGCAAGATGACGAATATGGACAGATATTTGTACGGTGATGCTTTTGTTGAATTCTCAATTAGTTGATAAATGAAACTCCGTTTTTATCATAAACAATTGGGTGATGCATGACAAAACCCTACCCAACGCATGGTCTGTTCCATTAATGTATGAAAGACTCAGAAATTGGTTTGTTGTGATTGTGAAGCTTTCCTTCAACATCTGCATGGTTTGCTTAATTGTGTTATAAAGATTATTAATTAGTTCAATGAGAATGCTCACAATTGACCATGGAGTTCTTGAAAATTGTATGAAACAATATTCATTTTTATGATCTGTAAAGGCACAGAAGAATAATAAATGAAATCAGACATAAGGTTTATGTCCATCAATTACATTGTGTAATAGACCAGGACTTAACTACAAGCCAGATAAAAGGTGAGTTATTTTTTCGCACCAATTTAAAGATTTAAATCACGCCAATCTATCTATTACGGTCCAAATTTCAAAAAATAATGGTAAGCAATAATGAAAATAACTCTATTAGGTCAATATTAAACTGTTAGCTAGAATGAATGAAATATCTACCATTTAAATTCACCATGTTTTACTTTCTTGATATTAGTTAACAAAATTACTCCCTGATGCCCTTTATTTTATCTTTCGCTTTACTTGCTTATGCCATTGGCACCATTCACACTGACAGCTAAAAACCCAAAACATCATTTTTAATGAAAAAAAAGTCACTTATATACTCTCTCACATGTATTAAGAATTATCCAAAAAAAATAAAAAATAAAAGCTTTAAGCAAATCAGTGGTGCATTTTGCATTGTCGCAAGCAACTGGAATGACAATCCTACTCGAAATCCTGATTCAGCGTGCTCGTAAAAGTTAAACAAAATAAAACCAGCCATTTAGCTGACTGAAATCCTGCAGCGATAACCACAACACTATTCCTTTCTACCTTTCATGATATATAGAATGGTGACTTAGCAAAACTTATTGAATAGACAAACATTTTTGTCGACGGCAATCTAAAAGACTTCAAAATGGTTGGAGGTATTAGTTTGATAGACCAAAATGAGTGGAGCTCATGACCTTCTTTCCTTCCTTTTAGTTGACCTTCTCTCTTCCACCTCTCGTCGTTTTTGCTGCCTGTCCAACATTACAACAATGGTCATAGTATCAAACACATCTCATTCTTGAATACATAAAGAAGCTCAAAGTTATTCATAATCTCACGCAAAATGCATGTACCCACACCAGCATTAGCAGCAAAATTGTAGCGTGAGTAGGCACAGAATCCTGCCCCACAAAGGGCAGAGGATTTTTCTGATCCCAATCCATCTAAACAGGATTGTTATTCACCGAAATATTGTGTAAAAATTTGAAGCAAGTTGCACGTGTTGGTGCATTTGTTTAAATGAATACCTCGTCCCATTTTGATTTTTTGTTCAGTCTACCATCACGATTGGTGGCCTCAGCAATAGGAGGCATCAAAGGCAAACCACCTGAAGAGAGAAGAGAGAAAATCAGCATAAAATAGAAAATGAGTAGTAAGAATGATCTTTGCCATACCATAGGTAAACTAGGTTGATTTATAACCTGCAACGGGTACATTGATCATTGGAACACCAGTTACAATTCCTGGTTGTGCACCCCTAGAGACAAATTCAACTTCCTAGGCTTTCTTCTTCTGCTCTTTGTTGTCACTTCCACGTCTTATATTTGCCTATGTGACAGTTAGGGGTGGTAAAGCAACATCAGTATCAAGTACTTAAAGGGAGCTTGACTGCAAGACCAATCCGTCAAGTAGGGATGAAAGTCGGCCTTAATGATCTAATGGTGCTAAGAAAAATATGAACAAATAACAAAATATGGCATGACAAATAAGTTGGTTAAAATCACAATGAAACTTAAATTAGGCTAGTATTTAACTTCCAAAATCATGACCAACATATTCACAAAAAATATAGAAAGAACCCCAAAGCAGATATAACTAGCCATACACAGCTATGTATAGACGTTGGCTGTCCATTTCAGCGCAAATAATATTATCAAAAGGACCTTTGGAGAGAAAAAACACAATCCAACGACAAAACATAATTTCAACATCAGGTTAGAAGATAAACAAGTTCTTTAATACCAGATATCAAGTCCATTGTTAGCATAGTGAACAATAATAGCCTAAACAGCCCAAGTACCAGCGACCAGTATATCTAGAATATGACAAACATGAAATATTAATGTTTGCAAGAACACACAAGAAGTATTATATAATTGACAAAATCAGGTAAAATATGAGCATAAAATAAACAAGTACAGGGAAGGACAAGAAAGTAGATGTAGAGAAGAAACTGTTAAGCAACTATTTGGTCGTAGTAGTCCCTTGGGTCATATCTATGAGGGTCCAATACATCCTTATCAAATCCTGGTCAATATCTTGATACCTCACAGCATGCAACAGGAAGGCAAGGTTCTGATAGTCCTTTCTATTGCGAACTACTGCATTAAAACTTTTTCCAGCCTTCTTATACTCAAGAAATTTATATATCTTTCTCTGCAATAATAATAAAAAATCATAGCACATTTTCATGAAAGAACAACAAATATGCAAAAGCTAAAAATAGTTTTATACAATTTTCTACTTTATCAAAAAATGAGGGAAATTATTTTTTAATTTAAACTATTACTTAAAACTGCTAAACTGGCAGTGTACTAATTAAGGAGTAAAGTGATGATCATTCAACTTCCCATGTACAGAATGTCAAGAAGGGAGTCAAAAAATATAATAATATAAGGTGCATTCAATGAGATGTTTAGTGGTCAAAAAACTTGATACAGAGAAGTATTGGCAAATTATCACTTTTTTCATAATTCAATGATTTAATCACAGAATTAGTAATATCTGAAATGATAAGTCTTGAATTCATATTAAAGGGAACATGTTAATGAATCAAACCATATATCACCACTTAGTAATTAAACAAGAGCAGCTGCCTAATTCATCGAATAATACCCCGCAAGATGAGTGATTTCCGCACTTCTACACCTTAAATTCATTTTGGATGGGTAGATTCTCACACTAAAACACTTAATCAAAATTTCAATGCCAAAATTCTAAACATAGATCACTATATTAAAGTGCTTCTACAGGACCTTAGAATTATGTATGTACATGTAGTTTACATTACATATATGCACAATCACTAAACAGGACTGGAAGTCATAAGAGATTAGAGTGTAATATTGCATCACAACTCTTCCAAAGTATCGCCAAATTGGTTTAATCATATTCATTAACTAACATATGAAAATAATAAAATCAACTGATAAGAAGCTTAAGAATTTAAAGAGCCATAGCAAATTAAAAGCGGAGCTCTAGTGTGGCACAAAGCAGAAAGGGAAAAAGACATCAAACTACACAAGCACACAATAGCTGTTTTTCTTTTAAGGGGAGGGAGCAAAGCACACCAGTTCAATTCAATAAATTAGCACATATCTAAAATTTATCAAGAATAATTTATTGATTATTGCAAAATTAATCCAAAGGAATTTACTTGTAGGCATTCAGAGCATTTAACTTTGGGTGGTGGTGGGAGAAATCTATCCAATGGATCTACAAACTTCTGCTCTTCCTAAGCTGTTTCTTCGTGTTCTGCACCATCTGATCCAGCCACAGCATCAACTTGCATGGTACGAGATGGCTCAAAAATGAGAAAACTAAGGAGTGTTAACTTGACTGGTAGGTCTCAACATAAAAAGATCCTGATGATGCTCCATCTAGCAAATCACTTACAAAACCACATTCAAGGAAGTTCTTCAGAGGGGAAAAAACAGTGGACCAAAAGGCAAAATGATAAACAGAAAAACAAAATAAAACAATAGGATCATTCCCATCTAATATACTTCATGGAAAAGTGAACTAAAACCACCCCAACGTAATGTCCAAGCCTCTTTTTCAATAATCTTATTCTTAAATACCCAACCAAAGTCCAAAAGATTGGCATATTCTCAAATTACTAGTCTCAGACAAACTCTCATGCACTTCAATTATCCAGAACTAAACAGTTAAACAATCAAATATAGGCAAAAAAATTGCATATAAAAGGTCAGTTGAATAATCGTTCTTGATTAAATACATTTCATGCAGAAGTTAATTTTAACTGTTTTATATGTTTATTACCTTATGAATATGACAGTTCAGATTCATTAGCTCATATTCATAATTATCTTACCAGAACCATCTATACAAGTTCTAGAAAGAACAAACTTTTTGGCCAAATGAAAGAACAAATTACTGGTCAAAATTTTAAATTCTTCTGTTCCAAAAAGAAATCAATGACATTGTGAAGCTCTTGAGATATTATTCTTTATCACCAACAGATTAATCAAGTAATATTCATTCTCTGAGAATAACCTATAGTGGGATGAGGTGTCCAAAAAAAGGATACAATAAATTTAGCAGAACAAACTTTAATCAAAAGGGGAAATACCATTTGTTGTTTGAAGTTCTTCCTCAAACATGAGTCAACCGTTACCATCAGGCCCTCCATCTTGATATCAGAACCAAATATAAGTTATTAGCTTATAACCTAAAATAAAGAAGGAGAAAATGGTTTCCTAGTAGAAGGTAGCCTTCCTGGAAAATATGGCAAGGCCAGGGTGGCTAAGGTAATGTTAGGGTCTTAAACATTTTGGGCAATTTTCAAGTTTAAGAGACATGACTCCATCAATGGAAGAAAACAATGATGAAGGAACGTATAGAAGACAAATATAGTACACCAAAATTGCCATGTCCTCAGTCCTACTTAAATGCATTTCTAAAAAAACAGAGGCGTGGATTCAAGTAAGAGAGAGTAACTCTGGCTCAGGTGACATTGCTATTTCATATGACCACAGTCTACAACGGTAATTGTCCCTCTCCTACTCCTCCTAGATTCAACAGACACTACTTGTTGATCCTGCTGTGAAACCAACATATCAACCAAAGGCTGTGGTGGCATTGAAGTCCCAAATTTACTCTTCTCTGGGGTCATCCCATCATTTTAAGCC